TTCTCAGAACTATTCTGCTTCCAGGACTCACGATACTTCTTTGCATATTGAAAGCATTGAGGAATCGTTAAATGGGATGAATCCAAAGTCTTCCAGGTCTACTCTACCATGGAACACTTTTTCCTCCGTTTGCTTTCACTCTAAACAAGCTAGATTCAGTTGTAAGATTCACTGGCTTCTGAGTCTCTAAACTTTGAGTTAATCATTCACCCTTTTAACCCCTTCTCTAAGTTGGGATAGCATTAGCATCTCACATGGTCACGGAGAGAGTTAGACCAGTTGATGTTTGTAAAGTGCCCCAACAGTGCCCCCTATTAATGCCACTTCCCTAAGCCTTCTGGTTTATGTATAAATGCTAACCATCTGTTAACATTAAAGGAGTAAACTAAAGAGTGATCATGGCTGCTGCTGTTAGGTTCCCAGGCTCTACTGCAAGATGGTAGCACTATAGAACACCTATGAGTCCCTGTCTCCTAGAGTCTGGGTATCATAGTTGATGCCATTGTGAGAATGGAGTATTAGAAGAGACCAGTGGGGTTGTTTCCTTGTTTCACAATGTGTTTTTTTTTATATGAAGATTTATTTATTTTTATTGCAAAGTCAGATATACAGAGAGGAGAGACAGAGAGGAAGATCTTCTGTCTGTTGATTGATTCCCCAAGCACCCACAATGGCTGGAGCTGAGCCAGCCCCAAACCATGAGTCCAGAGCCTCTTCTGGATTGCCCACATAGGTGCAGGGTTCCAAGGCTTTGGGAGGTCCTCGACTGCTTTCCCAGGCTATGACCAAGGAGCTGGATGGGAAGCAGGGTTGCTGGGATTAGAATAGGTTCCCATACAGGATCCCACTGCATTCAAGGCATGGTCTTTAGCCATTAGGCTACCGCACTGGGCCCACAATATGGTTTTGAAAACATTGATTCCACTGACAGTGCCTTAAATCTTTAGGAAATTGAAGAGAGTCTCTAGTAATGGCTTGGAGTTTACTTGTTCTAAAGAACAGAGAAGCAAACAAAAATAAAAGCAACACTGTTAAAACTGTTCGGTGAACACTTGAAAGAAAAGGTCTTTTTGAAGCACAGTACAAGTTTCAACATATGAGTTTACTTTCCTTTCACTTTAGTTTCTTTCTGATACAGCTCTTTTCTTACATATTTAAACTTAACATCTTCCTCTTAGCTAAGAAATTTCGGCACTAAGGGTTGTTCAGATTGTTCAACAATTCCGTGTAGTCAGCACAACCTCAGTGTGAACTTGTTGCCAGATCTGTTCTCCAGATGTGCTGGAACTAGTGGTTTGTAGCCCAGGCCCAGCCTAATTCTAAAGCATCTCACTAGGAAGAGAAGACAGGGAGATGTTCTAGTGATTTGTTTCATTTAGGAACTAAATTCGGATCCCCAAAAAGTGGTATTTGGACCTGGAGGAGCCCTTGGGAGTTTGTTACAACTGGAGTGCCTGAAGCTGCCCATGTGAGATGAAGCCAGACTGCAGCAGCCCAAGGAGAATTACTATAGCTTAAGAATATTTGCTCTCGGGTTGGCAGCGTGGTCTAGCGGTGGCTAAGGTCCTCACCTTCAACGCGCCGGGATCCCATATGGGCGCCTGTTCTAATTCCAGCAGCTTCACTTTCCATCCAGCTCCCTGCTTGTGGCCTGGGAAAGCAGTCGAGGATGGCCCAAAGCTTTGGGATCCTTCAACCATGTGGGAGACCCGGAAGAGGTTCCTGGTTCCCGGCTTCGGATTGGCGTAGCATCCGCCATTTTGCTCACTTGGGGAGTGAATCATCCGAGGGAAGATCTTCCTCTCTGTCTCTCCTTCTCTCTGTATATCTGACTTTGTAATAAAAATAAATAAATCTATAAAAAAAAATTTGCTCTCAAAATGTCTCTTTATATTGGGATTTGTTATTTTCTAGTTTCTTCAAAATTCTTAAGGCTCACTTAGGTATCTTGAATTCTGACTGGATCTTTCGAATCTGGCACTTACTCGGATCACCGTGGTTAAAAGAAGTGTCCTGCATAGAGAATAAGCCCCTTGCTCCTTGCCCTGCTTTTTGATCCCCAACTAGTGCAGAGGGAGTCAGAGTTCTATGGGGCAGGTGTGAGTTACATAAAGGTCTGATGTGAGTAGTTTTCTTATGTGAGTGCACACACTGACACTGCACACACATATGCACACAGAACATCAAACATCTCATGCCTTCTAGGCAACCTACTGTCCAGAAGTAAAAGTAGAAAGGCGACAAGTTGTTATATTTTACCCACCTCCAGGAATGTCCTCAGCTGCCATTTCACCCTTGTGCCTCTTTGCTTTCACTTTTGGAACAGATGCCACTCTGGATACTGTTTTGTTCTTTGCCATTTTCTACAGAAAGAGCTAGAAAGACCTAGTGAATGGGATTCTATTTGCATCTTGCCCAAACGGCACCCCTTTTTGGCTTGTACAAAGAGATGAAGGGCACTAATTGTCTGCTTGATTAAGTGAGTGAGTAAAAGCAAGTTGTGAGGGTTTTCAGGTGCATTAAGTTTCATCACTCATTAAAGACCCAAAGTGCTTCCTGAATACAAATTCTTTAATCACAACTATGACTAACGTAACAGACAGAATACTCTTCAGATGAGGAAAGTGTAGAAGAGAGAATCTCACACACGAGTTACTGATGATGATCTTCATCAGCCAGGAGTTAGTCTGAAGGAGCCAGCTGCCGACTATCCTAGGAAATAGTGTCTTCAAGAGTGGAACGGGGGTGGGGGGGTGGGATAGTATTTATTCCTGAAATTGAAAAATAAAAGACACCATTCACATAGTGCACATACCATGAGATATCTTAGTAAACCTCTGGACAAGGGTCAAGGGATCTATACTGGGGAGCAGTGGGGTAGGGGACCTTGCTTTAAATAGGCATATGTCTCAAGTTTACTTGTATTTATATGAAAAACAGAGTGAAGGAGAGCTCTCCCATCTGCTGATTCCTTCCTCAAATCCCCACAATGTACAGAACTGGGCCAAGGGAAAGTTGGGAGCCAGAAACTCCATTTGGGTCTACCTGTGGGTGGCAGTCATCCAGATACTTAATCCATCACTCTCAGGGCACATACTAGCATACAGCTGGACTGGAAGTCAAGGCAGGACTCCATTCCAGGTACTCTGACACAGGATGCTCGTGTCCCAGTTGGTGGCTTAGCCAGCTGGACGTAATGACCTTCCCTCCAGCTTATATTTTAAAGAAGTCATCCTTTACTACTACAAGTTCAAAATCTTTCTTTTTAAAAATGCACTCAAATGATAGGATTTAAAAGATTTTTCTTTTTTTCTGGACTACTACATTTTAGATTATTTATTTCCTATTGCTAAGTAAGCTTATCTTAAAAGCACATTTTATTCCACCAAGAAAAAAAAAGTCTATATTTCTCAGTAAATATCCTTCCACAAAGACCAAACCAATGTGTGTTTTTCAGCATTTACTGCATGTGCTTGTCTGGACTGCTGAAAAGATTTTGGTGAGAGGCTTTGAATTCTTATCTCCAGCTTGTTTACTGGATTTTCAGGCAGCTTTCTCAGGATTAAACTATCTTTCACTTTCAAAGTTAGATTCTGGTAACCAGTTTCTTTTCACAAAACGATGTTCTGAGGTCACTGTTTGGATTAGAGCAACCAAAATAAATGCACAACTTTTGCTTTGAAGATTTTGTTTCATCAGACAGTGCACTGTTTCATATATATATATATATATCTAGAAACTATTGGGCCTTTATATATACATATTTATACATATATATACATATTTAAATATATACATATTTAAAGGCCCAATAGTTTCTAGATATATATTTAAAGGCCCAAAGGTTTCTAGAAAAGGATGAACTCCTCTCTACACGACCTGAAACTCTCCTTTTGGAAATAGTCCCTGAAAGTACTCTGTTTGATAGCAAGCACTTCTTTAGGAGATATTGTACATTGCTTTGCCCTTAGTAATAATGTATTAATGAAATAACTCTGCAAGGATTCGCTTCTACCATTCATTGAGCAATGCATATTATTTTTTAAGGTATTTTACAGAAAGAACAGCTGAATGAACGAATAAATGAATGCATGCCAGGCAGGTGCGCCAGGTTTGTAAGGGTGGGAAGGATTTGTGAACACAACGAAGTGTCTTCAGAGCCCCTCATTTTTCAGATGAGGAAACAGCCCTGGCAGGGACCCAGGGCTAGTTAGTGACAGGTTGGGATTTCAGGGCACTGAATGGGGCGTCAAAATCCACGCCCACTGGTTTTGAAACGCTGAATGACATCTCATAACCACAAACTCTGGGATAATCAAGGATGTTTTTCACACTTGTCTCTCTTCCTTTATGTCTTCCTCATTGTGAATTTGCTAATACGACAGGCTATGAAGTTGAAGGACAGGACCTCTATCCAGAAACCTCCGTGATCCCGCCGTCCCCTCACAGAGCCTTCCTACTCCACCCTCAATAACTATGATTTAAGACGGAATGTGATCCAGCGACCATCTGCCGATACAGCCCAGATAGCCCCCTACCTCCGGGTCGAAAGCCTTGCTGCTACATTTTATTTCCCTTCCTCTCTGCCTCCCCCCGCCTCCCACCCCCAAGGAGGTGAGGAAGGGTGAGGGGAGTTCTTTGAGAGTTGATTCCAATCCCTGGCAGCGGTAAGGAAAAGGTTAAGCTGGACCAGGAGGATTTTTGAAGTCTTTGGCTGGGAGGTTCCATTTGGAAAAAAGGTGCAGGGGAGCTTGGAGTGACGCAAGAAACCAGAGAAGTTCTCCTCTATTTGGATTTTCGAGTCCAAACAGTTTGCTTCTCACCTGAGGGCGCAGTCGGGCCCTCCGAGCTTGAGTCTGAAATTATTCAGCCGCACAACTTGCTTGGCCAACGCTTGAGCAGGCATGGCAAGGTTCGCGCGGCCCCTTTAAGTATTCTCGGGCTGGGGTGGAGAGGGAGGAAACCAGGAGCGGCGGGGCCGGTGGGGGTAACCCACAAGCAATCCAGCCCCAGCGGAGGCTGCGTGAGAGCCGAAACTTCAGACGCTTCAGCTGGCGGCAGAGCTCGGTGAGCCGCGGCGGCGGGCGCTCCCGCCCGCAGCATCTTCCACCTAGTCTCCTTCCACCGCCCGGGCGAGGTCCGGGAACTGCCTCCCTGCTGCCACACCACGAGCCAGGGGTGCTACTTAACTACCCTCAGGAAGTTTGAGCTCCGGCGCAAATTTGGGGCGCTTGGCGTGCGCGCCCCAGCGGACCAGGGCGACGCGGGCGATGTTGGGCGCGGTGTTGGGCTGGGGACTCCCGGAAGGCGTGCGTGTGTCTGCGGTCCTGCTGCCGGCCCCACAGCCCTCGGCATCCCTCAAGTGATGGGAAGAAGGGCCCGCCCAGGCAGCCACTGTCGCCGCACCGCCCCCTCACTCGTCCCCAGCGCGCCGAGACACCCAGGCACACCCCCGGCGCCCGGAGCCGGCTGTCCGGAGCTACTGCCGCTACCTGGGCTCCTGTCGCCACCAGGACGGGTGGTCGGCTGCTGACTGGGCTCGCCTGTGGAACGAGAAGCACTTTTTTGGGCCCTCGCTCAGTGGTTCTCAGTGCCTAACTTTGCCGCCGCCGCCGCGCCTGCCCTCGCAGCGGCGCTCGGGCGCACGTTGTGGGGCGCACGCCGGGAGGTTCAGGCAGCCGGTCGAGCCGGGAAGCCGCACCGCTGCGCCTCAGCTTCGTCTCTTTGTTGTTTGCTGTGGATGGTCCTTGGACAAGGGGGCTGAGTCTCCTCGGAAAGCCCGGGCTGGCAGCACACAGACCTCGGAATTCTTCGTCTGCTAAGGGTTCGGAAGTACTGACAGGCATCCGGAAAGGTTGACGAGGAACTGCCCGGGAAACTCCTGGCGGATGGACCCACGTTGCTTATATTAAGCCTTTGTGTGTGGTGTGTGGTGTGTGGCTTCATACATTTGGGAATCCCGTTTTTGCTCCCTTCTCTTGGCATGAAACTGTATGCAGGACCCACCCGAGGACAATGATCGCGGAGCCTGCTCACTTTTACCTCTTTGGATTAATATGTCTCTGCTCAGGTAATCCCCGCGTCTTCTTTCTTCACCCCGGGTTTCCCTTGCTCATCCCCTTTCCACTTTTCGGAATCACCTCCCAAACACCCTCTCTCTCCCACCGCCAAGTTCATTTGGGTATCCCTCTCCTAAGACTGGAGGGAGTCGTTCCCCTGAGGGACTTTCAGGCGATAAAGTTCCTCTTTCATATTTGGGGATGTCTCCACGTCCCCCCCTCCGCCCCCCATCTTTCAAACCTCTTCGCAGCCCTCGGCTTCTCGCCAAAATCAGGCACGCCCAGATTACTGGGCGAACGCACGAGGGTGGGAGGAGGCAGCGGTGGTGAGCTGGGGCCTCAGGGAGAGCCCAGGCGAGTGTCGTCCACCGGCTGGTTCCTTGGGGAGGGAGGTGTGCGCCCCCGGAGCTGGTCGCCCACAGACTCCTTGGGATTCCTGAACCTGGCCCTCCAAATCGTCCCTCCTCTTCCGAGCACAGGGGGTTGTTAGTAGTTTTATGTAGCCAAAGTCTGTAATTAAATTCGATTCTGAAGAAACTTCAGGAAATAACTGCTTCTTAGCATAGGGTATAAACTGGCCACCGCCTGGCTGGGTGTAGAAGGGAAAGAGGCAGTTGCAAGTGTCTGAAAAGGAATCTCAGTTGCCTGGAAGTTTCTCCGTGGCTATGGAAAACACAAGGTTGGATTTAGGATTTTTGGTATTAAATAGTCCTGGAACTCTGTGTAGTGTTGGGCTGATGCTGGGCCTGGGTCCTTTTGACCTGAGTCCAGGTTGTATCTGAGCTTGCAAATAGTATTCTTACACTCCCCAGGAAACTTCTGCTCTGGGTGAACTGAGCTGTGGCTCCACTTCAGTTTCTTTCCTTTTGGTAGATTCTGGTTTCAATCATGAATCTGATTTCAGGCCCTGAAACACGCACGCACACACACACACACACACCACTCCTTACCTCAGGGAATTTTCATAGTTACATACTCAACTGCAAGTTGCGTCAGGGCCTATAAGTTAGAACCATTCTATTTGCATAATTATAGAACCATTCTGAGGGTTACTCTGAACCTTTTGTTTGTGGTCTATGGTTACCATGTATGTTTTGAACAGGGATTTTTTTTTCATATAAGCCAAACAGTTAATGGAATATGAAAAGAAGTAAGAAAATTGTATAAGAGTGACATAATAGCAAAGTTTCTCAGCCTGCGGAGATGTACTCACTGGCTGACAAAGGGCATTTACAACTACACCGAATAAAAATGTACTGGACTGGAGTTTCAGCCTTGGCTATTTCATGTATGTCACGGTGGGTGGATGAGTAGATTGGATGAACTCTTTTGAGGGGGCATCTTTCCCCAGTTTTCTTCCTCCTATGTTCCATCCTTTCTCTAAATTTGAGTATCTGAGTGATTGAAACACACACACACACACACACACACACACTCACCCCACCACCAACACACAGGCACCCCTCCTTCCCTGTATGGATTCTAGTCCCAAACTTCAAGGGCTGATCTTACTATTTACCTCCTTGCTGTGTGTCCCCCTAGTTTAATTTACAGCATCAGGTACCTTTGAGATTCTGTTGATACACCTTCTTGGTTAAAGTTTATTCACGTGTGTAAAGTGAAGTGTCAGTGTGATAAATGACTGGAGGGGCAGATTCCTGAAGATAGAGGGATTAATGGTCATTAGTCACTGTGGGAGCTGAGTTTGTATATGTTGAGACATTTTATCACGGCTTTAGATTAAAGATAGGGTCGCACTAATACGGCATTACTGAAAGCTGGTCATGTCAGTGTGTACATTCTGTCTCCACTTGGAAAAATAGTTGGGGGGTGTGTCATTTGATCGAATTTAATAATTTAATTAGGAGTTAGTGTCTGAGGCTTTTGATTTGAATAGCTAGGAGAAATGTTTAATCTTAGAGTGAAAAGTTTGTGTTTCTTATTTTCCCTGTAAAGCCACTGGTGGCCTAAGTCTCTTTGTGGGGATGCCAGTCTACTTTGCTGGCTAGGGGACAAGCCGAGGTGATTTTGTGATGTGCTCACTCATCGGTTAACAACCTGAAGCATTTTATCATTCCTCTGATGACTTTCACTCATGCCAGCCATCTGAATGTGGGAGGCCTGTCAAGTTTTGGGACTGCTCCGGTGTTGTCATGGCAGGGTGCTCTCCCAAAGCAACGCTATTGATTTGAATACAATTTCACAGGCCTCAGATAAGTAACTGGTAACTTGGGTGTGCTTGAGACACCTGGTCAGGGAATGAATGAAGTTCTTGAAAGATTGTGTTTCATCTATTGACTGAGGCTTAAGATCACAGTCTACTACTTGTTAATGGAGTGTATTTAAGAGAAATGTGGTGAGCTTAAGTAAATCAAAGTGTACTGAGAGGGTAAGGTACCTTCAACAAGATTTAACCTGTAAAGCCATCTATTGGTTGTCAGTTCTTTGGTTGTTTTTTTTTTTTTTTAAACTGGCTGCCAACTTAGAGTCCTAAGGCTTTCTTCAAACAGGGTAGAAGCTCGGTTTTGCTGTGATGTTGGCCGACTCCACATAGAGTATTGTGTTGAAGAGGGTTTGTTTTTTATTGTGTTGTATTTATTAACCTGGTGCTACCATAGGTGCTCGTTTTTATCTGGAAAACTAAAATTAGAAGAAAAATGAGAAGAAATCTTTGCATACTCATTTTCTAGTAATGAATTTCTTTAATTAGTTTGCTGGTCTTTTTTTCCTCTGAGTAGCTACACTTGTGGAAGGGGATGATGGCAGGCAGCTGAAGGGAGCAGCCCTGAGCATCTATGCGATTACTCAGGAGCTAATTCTAAACAACGTGCCTTCCGAGATTTCCCCCTTCTCAAGTCCGTTTGCTGAAATCTGCTTCTACGTGTCAAAGTCATTAAATTTTAGTTCATACTTAAGATGCTATCTGAATTTCAAAGGGGACATTTAGCAGTAGTGTCTGTTTTTCTCTGTTTTGTTGTTTGGTTGGTTGCTTTTCTCTTGAGACTTTCTTCTTCTAATCAGTTTTACTCTTTGTGCCACTTTATGTGAACCTCTGGCCTTCCTCCTTCCCTCTCTCTTTTGGCAGAATTTTCTGATAAGTCCCATACATCTGGTTAGTCTCTTTATAACCTAGCTGGCTTTTAAATATGTATACCTGGATAATGTATTGTGTTTTCAAACATCTTTGTTTCCTTATAATGGGCTGATTAATATATGGGATATTTATGGTCAAAATGTCCTAGAATAGAAAGTTTGGAGTTTTTTTCCTAACCGTTGTGACAAAGGAAATACTCTTGTGGGAGATAAAGTGGTGTAAAATGCTGAATTTCAAACTAGCAGTGACAGTCGTTCACTTACTTTTACAATGACTACATATTTCATTTGAAAAAACTGTGCAGCAGGAGTAAGTTTGAAAGAAAATTTAGTGTGTCAACTTTTCATGAAGATCCTAAGTAGTTGAATCTTCATTTGTAGTCTTCCGTGTTAATAAAAAGTGTTAAAGTGTTACCTCTGTTCATTTCTGCCCTTTTAAACATGTTTACATTCTAAACACAAAAATGTAAACTGTCTCGCAAGCTTGATTTATGTGGGAAAATTTAAAGTACTGAAAGTTGTCAGTTGATGTCAAATTAGGCCTAAGATAATTTATTGAGTGATTTTAAAACTTTTGGGAGTTACAAAGTAAAGAAACCAGAAACATAAGTTTGAGAAGTTAAGTAGATGTAAAGATCCGGAGTTGAGCTAGTTTAAAAGTACAAGCAAGAGTGAGGTGAAAGTAGACAGAATCTGGGTGCTGAACTCTGGCCATATCAGCAGGAGAAACAAGTTTGACATGTAAATCTCTGAAAACTCAACACTGCTGTGTGTAATCTATATTTAGCAACTACCTAAATGATATATTTTTTCCATGTTAAAAACATTAGCAATTCACACATATTTAGTCTCTAATAACTTGATAGCATTTTTTCCCACAGCTTTGTTTTGTAAGACTTAATACTACCTTGAGGTAGACAAAGCAGTTAAAAACCAAGTAGTAAGTTTCCATATCATAGCATGGTCGCTTGAAAATAGTTTAAAAATGAGATTAAGTTCAAAATTCTTTCTTGACAATAAAACAATTTTTGATAAGTGCTTTTGAAATGAAACTGTGACTCCCACTTATTGAACATTCACTGTCATCTGATTTAGTGCTTATTAGATCCTTATGTCGGAAGCTCTATTAGTAAAATACTGACTTGATTTTATAGTTGTGGAAACCACATCAGAGAGAAGTCGAGTGATGTAGCTGAGCAGAGATTTGTACTGAGTTGCCTCCAAAACTCCCAACCACTGTGCCCTTTCCTAAGTGAAGGAGAGATATTGAAATAAACATGATGGTTTATTTACCTGTTATTTTAAAACTTGCCCTCCAAAACCACTTCAACAAGTCTGTGGTCAAACACTGGAGGACTTAGGAGAAAAGCATTAATTTCCTTGTTTCTAAGAAAGTTATCTTTAAATGTTGAAACCATCAGACAGTTCTCTACTTCAAACTGGTTCACATTCAGCCATGATGGCATCTGCATTTTCTGGCGTGCTTAAAAGAGGGACCTGCGGATAAATTAAAGCATTGTATGCTGGTGTGCTGATGCCTATAAATTCCATTTTCTATCCTGGAAAACGAATGCCATTCTCGTTCATAAACACTTGAGGAAGGATTGGCATTCATGAGAGAAGAACCATAGGAGCAGGAAAGTCATTTCCCCTGGGTGGCTCTTACCCTGTGGGTTGGGTGTGGGCTGGAGACCATTTAGTGGAGGAGCCTTCTGCTTCACTTCTGCTTACTGATGACTCCCTTCATGGTTCCTGATCATGTAAGGGTTCAGCATCAGTACCTGCTTGATAAGCTCATTGGAAACTGCAGATGCATAGCCAATACAGTCGCCAGGGAGATCAAAAGGCTACCTCCCTTCTTTACAGTGCTGGCATAGGGTATTTTCCTTTTCCCCTCCTGCCTCCTCTTTTGGCACTT